CTGTGGCTAAAACAGTCTTTGAAAGTCTGCTCTTTATATTCGTATGCCTTTCATTCCATTCTTTAGTCATTTAGCCCATAGATTTCATTTCTGTGTGTGTACAAGGATTGCTGCTCCATTCCTTTCTCCCCATCTTTCCTTCCCAGAACATAGGAGGTTTAATTCTACAGTAGCTAGCACCAAATGTGTTATAGCTGATCAAAATGTTTGTAAAAATATCAAATATAAGTGGCAGAAAAGTACTGATGTGTAAGTGAAAGTATAAGGTACAACATACAGATGTATCAGAACAAGGTCTCTGATAAAGCAAGGTTAAAAATATAAACAAGGTTAATTTATAATCAGTAGAGCAACTGCTCCTTTCGCAGAAAGATTATTTTCTTTGAAAGAGTATATTACTTAGAAGTCTTAGCATAAAAGACATTTAGCAATAAATTTATATTCAGATACTTCTGACAGGGGAATTATTACCCCAATATATTGTACAGGGAATTAGGAAATAGTTTTAAAAACTTGGTCAAGGTCATATAGGAAGTCTGTGGCAGAGTCAACAAAACATGAGAATAGTAAGAGCAGTTCCTGTTCACCACTTCCCTCTCTGATCATGTGTCTTATAGAGATTGTAGAGCCTTGCTGTCAGACCAAAAACTTGCTCAATCTGATGCCCTAAAAGCTGCTTTGAAGCTAAACACAAAACTCTTAAGTTATGGGCAGCTTGGGATATGATTCCATATGATCTTTTAGCAAAGCAAAAGGACATATTTATCTGTCATAGTGAATGTAAAGGAGATATTCAGAGAAACAAAACTGCACTCAACACCAATAAATCTACTCATTCCATCTGCTTAAAATGCTCTGAAACATTTTTTTTAATAGATTAAAAAAACTAAGAATACAAGTATGTGTTAAGCCATGCAGCTTTCCTATAGAGTAGAAATGCTATTAAGGAATAAGATAAAATGACCAGCCCTCCTTGCCACTGATAAATGGGAAAGTAGAAGTCAGAGGTGTTAATTCCCCAGTTTTTGAAACCATAGGTCAGAAGTGAGAAACATGATTTCATGTGGCTCATCTATATTTTTAAGGGGTTTACGGTTTTTGTGTACATGCAGCTTTTCTGTTTGTGACAAGAAGAGTTGCATACTGTAGTCTGAACCCCCTGGTCAGCAGCACTGAAAGGGTCATATTTGCAGTTTGAATGGTCAAAGTCTGCTCTAGAAAAAATGAAACCTAAAAACCAAGGGGTGGTTAACAGTCTGAATAAAACAACAAAACTGAAACTGGTACTTGTCTAAATCAACCTTCTGCAGTCAGCAATCATTTTGGCCAATGTTTTGTGTATTCTGCCAAAATCTCTCAGGGGTGAAAAATTCAGGAATGGTAGCCCCATTAAAGGCTGCTAAAAACTGTGGCTTTCACAAGTCCCGACTTCTTTTTCCTTTTTGTGGTTATACAGGTAGTGCATCTCTGGTAACCTTGTATACTGTCTGAAAGAAGATGGTGATTACATTTTCTGGTTTGTTTTTCCTCTTCAGAAACAGCTCAGTTGTGAATGACCCTGTGTGATAAGTAAGAGAAATTCAGTATGCAGTTTTGGTGCTACAAAAGGGCCCACTGGCAATTTCAATGCATATTTCCCAAGTCCTCGGAAAGGGCATTGAGGGTCTCCATTACATGCAGTCTAGAGCCTGCTACAATTTTCTCATACAATTTAATCTGCTGCCTGGATGGCCTCCAGTGTACAAGCAACTGACAATCTACAGTCTTTGGAATTGATTTCCTGGAATTGTGGAATGCCTGCTTGGCCTCCAGATGACAGATGTGTGCTGGAGCTCTCAGTGCTGCTGCTCTACAGAGATGAGAGAAAATTTGCCTGATTTTAACATTTTATTTTAAGTCTTCTTTTAGTGATTTTAGGGATGAAGTTGTCACACAAAGATAACTTGAAGATACAAACATTATTCTGAGTGGACATCATTAATAAAGTCCTTTTCTTTCTGTAGCATTTATCATTTAACCTTTTTGGGTTTATAAATATTCTCTAAGACAAATACTATGAATTTGATAATTCTTGTCATAGTCATTTTGCTCTTGGGAAACCAAAAATTATAGGACAGATAAATGAGTTGCCAAAATTCACACACCAGAGCACTGTTGCCATCAGAAAAAGTTTTTAATCTTAGAGTACTTCAAGTAATTAACGTGAATTCATGCTATAGCTCTCTTTTCTTCAGTAGGATTGTACCTGTACTTTATTTAAAGCACATGAAAAGTATGTGTTCTTCTTAATAAACACAATATCTGCATAAGTAGGAGAGTGAGAAAATAACTTGAGATTTATAACCTATTTTCCGGTTTTAAGACCAAATATTCCTCCCATTTTTCTTCTGTATATAGCAAATGCTCCTAAATCTGGAGTATAGGTGCCATTCTTTCTCTTACAGTATATAGAAGCAAACTCCAAAACTCGGACTGAGAGTCAGCAGAAAAAACCCAAATGGTGAATGTACATTGGGAAAAGTTCGGTGTTTTCATTGAAAAAAACTAATATAAACAGTTCCATGAGAATGGGTGTTTTTCCTTTGATGACCAGCTAAGCAGACAATCTGAAATCTGAGTGACATGTGTTCTCCTTTCAAATCTGCAAATGTTTCTTCACGCATAGAAATTGGGAATAGAAAATAGTAGTTGAAAATCTGGGAAACTCCAACTCAACTAACATAGTAATGGATTGTTAAAATGGCTCATTTGGTGGAAATATGAGGGCACGCATGGTGGCTTGTCCAGAAGGAGGATACATACACCTGATGTCAAAACAGGGAGATTTCCATTGCAATCCCAAGCCACAAATACCTGTTGTATAAGGCTTGAATTCAGTTTTGGATTTTGTGGGTTAGCACTTTTTTGGGGTGTTTTTGCTTTCTTTGAGGAACTAGCCAAATGCTCAAGGGCATGAAACTTAATAAAAACAGGGGGAAAGTTTATGTAGACTTCAGCTGGAAAGGAATATAACAGCTTACAGTGAGAGAGCAAAAAAAAATTTTGTATCAGCCTTGATATAGAAAGTAGAGGAAGCAACTAAAGAGGTTAGAATAGCAGCTTTGTGCTAAATAGGATGTGTATGAGAACATGAGAGTGAAAGAGAACTTGTGTGATTATGAAGTGGAAGTATCCATGATCATTTTGAAGGAAAGGATGGAGAACAGCAAAGTAGAAGAAAAAAAGATTTCAAGAAAGCAGATTTCAGCAAACTCAGGATACTGGGAGATCACATGTCATGGAAGAGAAATTTAAAGCAATATAGGAATTAAGCACTTCCTGATGGAAAACATGCTCTTTGGAATTTAATGATTCCAATGCAAGGAAAGAATAGCAAGTATATAGCAAGAAGTCATCTGGTTAAATCATATACATTGACCTCAAATATGTGAGTCATACAGGAAATGAAAATTATGTGAGATTACTAGGATTAGTATAAAGGAATGCATAAGTATGTGGAGACAGAAATCAAAAAGAACAAGGCACAGAAGAAGTTATAATTAGGAGGAGCAAGAAACCTTTCATAAGTTACCAGCTTAAAAAAATCTGTTTTTATAAAGGACATTACAGTTTATGACTGTGGAGTTCCTACTCAAATTCTGTAAGGACTAAGAGAAAAACTGAGAAACTATTCTGTACTAAGCTGAGAGAGAAAACTAGTAATATCTTAGATCAATTCAATGCCTTTTTTGTTTCAGTATTAACTACAGAAGGCTGCTATAATCATATGGCTAATATAATTATTATGAAAAACTAAGGACCATGATCTTACAGACTAATAAAACGGACTCTAGCTTATTTAGAGCACTGGCCAAAACTATTTAACGCTGTCAGCAGCCATCTCTGATAACATAGGAGGTGCTTGCTAAAGCTCTAAGAGATTGAAAAAGGAAAAATGTAGTGCTTAAAGGATAAAAAAGAAGTCAGGGAATTTTTCATCAGCCACTTTAACTGCAGTTCCTAAAAAAATGCTAGAACAAATAAAATGGACAAATAATCAAATGAGTTATATGTAAACATCTGGAAGATAGCAAAGAAATGGCTGACAGATAGAATGGATCTGTTGAGAGCAGCCCACATCAAACCAGTCTGTTTTCCTTTTGCTTTGGGCCAATAGATCTGTGAACAAAAGAGCAATAATAAATGTTGTGTATCTTGACTTCAGCAGGTTTTCTGACCATCTTTACATATCATATGTTTGCTACGTTTTCCTAAGCAAAGCAGGAAAACTTGATTTATGAGGAAATCTGAAGAACTGATGGTCTTTATGAGAAAAGTCTGAGGTGAAACATGTCTTTAGATAAAGTTTCTAAGCTACCCCAGAAAGAAGGAGAATAATTTTTCTCCATGTTCAGCATAAACAGGACAAGAAATAAGAGTCTTAAATACAGCTAGAGAAATTCCAGCTAGATATTGGGAGGCATAAGTAGAAATAATGAAGCCCAGGCATATGTTGTGAAGAGATGATGTCAAATCTCTGTTACTGGGGTTTGTTATGTTCACATTACCTGTGCTCAGAAATGTTACTGATATTTTTGCCCTGCATCAGGACAATAGATAGATGGGATGAGCTTTCAAGTGGTATCTTATGTAAAAAATTTGCCCTTCTCCAACCTTGGCTGTCCCAATCTTGTGTCTATGTCAAACAATTTTTAGACAAGTGTGATGACAGCCAAGCACTTTTCAGCATTTACTTTCAACATTCACTTTAATAACATTTTGTGAAAAGGAAAGAGGTATTCTGATTTTTTAAATACAAATATGAGAAAGAGCTTCTCTGTATCCATGTAAAGTTGGGCGCAGAAACTGTTAGACTTATATGCGGTTGATATTTAAACCAAAAATAGGTTTCATGTTTTCATTGCAAAGTCACCCACCAACCGTAAGCCATCTTAATTTTTCTTTTTTCAACGTTTTTCCTCCACAAGCTTTTAAAAATACTATATTTCTAATTTAGTTAGAAATTTTGAAAGTCATATCTGTAGTTCAGGTAAAAATTGTGATGTCTGTGTAAAGTATCATCTCACCAAAGGACATCACAAGGCCTTAGCACTGCCCTGCTTACAAAAGAAGAACTTAGAGCATTGGTGTTATTGCCAGTAACATGGTAAGTCACAGAGCAGCGTGTGAACTGTTTACGAAAAAACAAGTTTCGGATCTACAATGACGTGAAAAATATCAGCATTCTTAAAAAAAAAGGAATGAAATAATATTTTTCCAGAAGTTAGGCCTTGTTTTGCTTTTATTTGTCTCCATTTTTGTACATTAAATCTTTGTGAAATAAATATTATAAAACACAAAAAAATTATTTGTACTAAGCATAGTTACAGAACTGGAAGCCTTATAGGTGGAATACATTATATTCTTAGCCACAGGAGAAGAGAGATGGAGCTAAATGTTTGATATAATGAAGGAGAAGATTGGTAAGAGTATCATATAATCAAGTCAAGGATGGATTTGATCTGCTAGAAATTAATGGAAGATAAATCATTGAAGATCATTATTAGCAAATCTTTTTTCCATTCTTTAGAGTGTTAACTTCAAGAAGTGGTAATTTTTATTTTATTTTTAGTAAAGGGGATAGTTTTTTTATTAATACAACAAATAGGTAACTTAGAAGTAGTTATAACTAAAATTCCATGTATATTAACCTGGGTTGAGAAAAGGAATACTAAAAGACTTAGCGAGAAAGTGATTGGAAAGACTGAAGTTATGAAAACAGCTCATTTTTCTGAAGTGAAATGTAAGCATTGTCAAGAGTTGTTAAATCTCGAGATAAAAAGAATTCACACTTATTTCAAAACGAAAATTAGTTTCTTCAGAGTTTCTACATCAAATGAATGAAGCTTTGTCTGTTGAAGTAGAAGAAAAAACATGGGTTTGATGATCTTCCAAGTGAGACATCTTCAGTGCCATTGAAAGTTAGCCACAATGAAAATGTAATTCCCTACTCTAGGTCTTCCTGCAGCTCTTTAACTGCAAACTCCTTTCACAGCATTCTCAGTTCATCTTTGAAAACCACAATATGACAGATCAATTGGTGACTGCACCTTAAAAAAAAAAGGAAGAAAAGAAAGAAATGAAGTCGAAGACTTGAACTTGATAGAAAGTTGCAACCTTCTTTTCTTCTAAAAACATCATCTTCAGTGTAGCACAAAATGAGCAATTTGAAAGTGATTGAAGCACTTTGCCCTGAATACTCTCATTCAGACAGATTTAAATTTGTGGTTTCGTATTAGATACTACAAGTGAGGAGACAGAGGAAAAAATTAAAGGAACAACTAAAAAAAATCAACTTTGACATTAAGGCAGATGGTTCGTTGCACATGAGAAATGATCCAATAATGGATACAAGTATCCATAGAGAAAAAAGGATTCCTACTTAATGCTATCGATTTTGTGTCTGAAAAGTAAAGCAAAGAATATTGTGTCCAGGTTGTTGTAGATGTTGCCTAGTAGTTCAAAAGAAAACCAGAGGAGAGATCTTTTAATTTGTTTTAATGATGGAAATAAGGAGAATAAAGCTATTTACAGTAAAAATCACTTTAAACATTTCTATGGTAGGTGTTCAGTGTACACTGATAGAATGGTTGTGAAATAATGTAGCATCATATGGCATATTTTGGGAGTTCAGAGATTTTCCTGCAACATCTATCTCGTATTTGTTTGATTTAAAAAAGAGGATTGATGCTGCACCTTTTCAACAACATTCAGAGGAGCTCTGAATGGCCAAAATTTTGGACCTGATTTTCATTTACAGAAAGATAATGACTTGCATAGCATAGAGTGACCTAAATACACCTCTAAGTTCATTTTACAGAATGCAATCAGTATTATGTCATTTTTTGGTCAAAGGAAAGCAGATCTAAAAAGGTCCGTATACTTTCATAAGAAATAACACAGGCTTTCAAATTTGTGTTGAGCCCGAAGTGTGGTCAAAACACAACAGACTTTACTGTTGGTTTTTTGATTTTTTGTTTGGTTGTTGTTGTTGTTGTTGTTGTTTTTATTTTACAGAGATGTTACATTTGCAAAAGCCATTGCAATGTGGGTTTGGCAGATATAAATTTTATGGACGTGCAAGTCTACAACCATGGTCACAGGGTAAAAAAGGCACATCTAATTAACAGCTAGAACCACACAAGGAGAAAAAATATTCTTTGATTATTTCTAGAATTTTTATGGCTAGAAATGTTATTTAGCCAGCATCATTGATTATTCATACAGTTGCCTGTTTTTTGTCTAAATTAGGAAAGAGTAGCAGAAATGTGGAATGTAGAGTCTAAGCCTACTTTTCTTCCTTCTTTTAACACTAGCAGGCTTTGTACATGACATGTATGGGAAAAAGTGATGCCACAATTTATGTCAAAAGAGTGAAATTTGGGAGATGAATCACAGTGAATAGATACTCAAATTCTGACAGATGTCAGTTTTGCAAAATATATACAGTTCTGTTCAGCAAGCTCAGTATGTGTCTCTGGTGATTCAGATTTATTTGGTTGAACAGTTAATCTCTGAAAAACAGTTTTCAGTATTCTGGAATGGCTTGTCAGAATCCAGCTGCCAAATACCCTGAGCATTCTCTGTCTCTACTCATCTTCCTTCCTCCTGCTGGATCCCCTTCATGAAGGGAGAACAAATGGTCCATTTCCAAAAACTCTCTGAACAGATTAACACAGACCATGACTTTTCCAGACACTGTTATTCTGGAGTGCCATGATACCAGAGGGAAAACTGGTAAAACTTTTTTTCCTTGCATCTTTAAGCTGCTTCCTCTTGCTAAGAGTGGGAATAGAGTAGATAAAGCAAGCTACCTGACTTAAAACAGAATGAGGAAGAAAGGAAGGTCATGGGTTAGGTAGAGGTACAATATTTATCAGGACATAAGAAGCACAGCACCAGCTAGGCTCGCTAAACAGAAAAGGAGGGAAGGAAGTTCTTTAATTAGCAGAACATGTAATTAAACCTGAGTCCTGGTGTTGTTTTGCTATCATAAAATATATCAGATATCTACTAGCAAAATGCATCTTATTCACTTCAATGCTCTGAACTATATTGCATTTGTACTATATTGCATTTATTAGTGCAGTCTGACTCTGACAGCAGCATGTACTAATAATTTAAAGATTAGAACTCTATTACTACAGAGATCAATATAGGTCTATATGATGGAATTTGCATTCACCCCTAAATAATTATTAATTCCATGACACTAGAGAGCACTAAGGTTATGCTTACGTTTTAGAAGGTAAGCAGACTGTCCCAAGTAATTATAGATCTGTTACCCTGGCATCAGTCCATGCCAATACTTATGGAAGTTATTAAGAACTTGTTTTTTAAAAAATGAATTAAATAATGGAAATATAATGAATGCCAGTCAAAGTTGATGTAAAGAAAATCGGTCTAGTCAGTCTGTTTGACATTTATATGTTTACTAATTTACAGAGAAAACATATACAGATTCTTATAAGGCAATTTAACTGTGACTAATAAAAACCTAATTCAAGAAAGAGCCTTATACTGTGTTAACAAGGCACATGCTGCTCTGGTTGAAGGACTTGGAAGACAAAAAAGTAATTGTAAATTGGGAGCCATCATGAATGGAGTTTACCTTGCACAAGGCTTGACACATGTTATTAGTAGGCTGGTGGATGGCTAATTCTAATCCATATTTTTCCCATTGCTTTAACAAATAAATGGTACTAAGTGCATTTGTTAACATTTGCAGATAATATAAAAATAGGAGAAATAGGGAATACTGAGTGAAGCCAGGGAAGTCTTAGGGGACCGCTTGAGCTGGTTGAATAAGTTATGGCCATTCAAAGGAAGTTATATTGTAACACTGTCAAAAGCAAGATCATATCTTTATGAGCATAAAACATGCTTTCTGTTCCTCTATAGGAAGAGGAGCTGTTTCCTGGAAAAAAGATTCTGAAGAAGATTTCAAGGTCATAGTGGACAAATGAGTCAATATGGGTTCCTACTGTAATGATTTGGCAAAAATAGGTAAATTGAATTGGAAATGAAGCACTTGAGAAGTCATTTAAATTTTGCATATGGAATTGGTGCTGTAATCCTGCCTAACTTGGAGACTTGCATTTTAAAGAGAATGGTGAGTATTTTGAGTGGATAGAGAGCCACAGAAATAATTGTGGAGAATTAATTTCGTTTGAAAACTGAAGAGCCCAGTTTGGCTATTTCATTTTTTTTAAAGCAAGAGGGAGAGAGAAATTGTTCAGAGATGATTTGATTACAATGTATAAATACTTTCCTGTAGAGAAAATCTGACATTCTAAAGAGCTATTTATTTTAGGGAAGATAGGCATAGTACAGTAACATCTTTTTGTTCTGGAACGTGGATCCATGTAGGTCCACGTTAGGAACAAAACTCAAAAATTTTTAACAGTGATGAACTAAACTATAGAGGAAGATGGAGATTCTTCAACCCCGAAGAAGAAGAAGATTTGAAAGTTTCTCTAAAAAAATATGAATAACCTTCAGACCAAAACAGGACTGGGGGTTATTTTCTTGCATTTGTAAAAAATAAGTAAGTAGCCTTAGTATGAGATAAAATTCAATAGACTGTGATATGCCAGAGATCCTACTAAAGGATTTTAAAAGTCTTTTCTGGCCTATGAATTTAGAGGGGAAAAAAAATTTACTAACAAAAATACCTCAAAAGAATTTTAAAGTCATGCATTCAGAAGGGGCAAAACAGATGTAGGCTTCCTGAACAAATTTTCTCCAAACTGCTATGAAATAGTCCATTACATGTTCTTAGATGTTTGAAGTCATGTGGAAAATGGATAGTGTGTAAAAGGCACTGCCTGGATAGAGCAGTGGAATAGTGCCATGGAAATACTACGTGGTCAGGCAATTATAAACTTCTTCTAATGAATATATATGAACAAAACTTCTGCTGTCATTTACCAGATTGTGAACGCTTGTATCTCTAACATGTGTGACCCTTTAATGGGAACAGCGAGATTGAAGGGAATGAGAAAGAGGCCGAGGCAGTTAAATAGGAAGAGAATATCCTGAAGGCAGATCTCTCTGAGATGGCTATAGAGTGCTTTTAAAATATTGTGGAAGGAAAATCTTTTAGGGTCTGTTTCTGCATTCAAAAGAATTATTTAGACCCAATTTCTCTTTTCCTTTGTTCTGCTTTAGGCTAACTTGGAAGAAATCTTAAAAGGTATTATGTTTAACTAATTGTCAGATTGATCTGTAACTTTGTTTGTCCAAGCATACTAAGTTGGCTGAGCAGAGCTTGACGGGATTCTAGAGATGCTGAAATGAAAGAAAAGAGATGCCATTTCTCTGAATTTTTAACATAATTCTCTAGTCTCAAGGATGATGGAAAACTATGATTGAAGAGCTGCGAGAACTCTACATTTTATTTCACATTTCTGTAAGCTGCAAATGCAGATAGAAGAAATGTCATAACTCTCTGAATAAAAGAGAATAAGAACTTAATTTCTTCCTGTTCTTAGATGCATATAATGGCATGGAGATGGCTTTTTTCTGACATATCCTGCCTCAGGAAGAACTTAAATGGGCTTTTCTCATGGAATAGTAACAGTAAGAAGAAAGCAATACAAAATAAGAAGCAAATACAACAGATCAGTGAATCCATGTGCTCTTCTGTTTATAGTCTATAAACTTATATTTTACATGGTATACACTTTTTTGTTTGATAAAATTTCATGGCATAAAACTTAGGTGTTCATTTCCCTTTGCAACATCTCCCTCCTCATCCTCCTTTCATGAAATAAGGAATGAAAACAATGTAATAACTTTTTCTTCCCACTAAATGGAAAAAATGCAGCAATCTTGATGCCTCTAGTAGGAAGCAGTGGTGGGAATTATACTTTCTTGTGAATGTTTTCCTGATTTCAGTGATACTCTTCTAATATCACTGAACCAAATTATGTTCATGCAGTTTCCTTTATACTCTTTTATACTATGTTGACCATTTCTTATATCACATTAACCATAGTGCTGATATAAGACGTGTACTTTTGTTATTTTGGTGACCTACTCTATTTAAATATGAAAAGAGGTTTTATAAGGTGCAAGTGTGGTCTTAATGATTTGAGAATTAAATGGAGAATAAAGATAATTACATTCAGAGGGCAAGGATAGTGTACCCAATGGGAATAATGATAGGGTAATAGAAATTACTATCACCGGTTTGTAAGAATATAGAAAATTTAGAGTTCTTACCTGAGAAAACAGGAAACCTGTGTTATGTGCCAGAAAGAACTGGCACTTGAAATTGCAACTCCATTAGCAAGGATTTTTAATTAATCTTTCAATCCTGTGGTGGTACAATGGGATTGGCATATATCAAAATTTGTTTGTTTTTAAAAAAAGAGGGGAAAGCTACTGGATTATTGTTTCGACCTTGATGTTGTGCAAGGTCTTAGAAAATATTTGAAAGGAAGGAGCAATCAAGATCATGGAAATAGAGGTAAATAGAGAATGGGATAAATTATGAGGTGGTTTGAGCAAAAGTAGATCATGTCAGACAAACCTCATCTTTCTCTGATAGGATAAGCGTTTTCTTCAAAAACTGCTGTGCAGTGGACCTGATATATCTGGGTTTAAGCAAAACATTTGAAACTGTGTTCATGGAAATCTTAATTTAAGCAGAAGAGGATACGATTTGG